CATCTCAGCATTTCCATTTTCAACCTACCTCCAGAAAGATTGGAGCCTTCATAAAAGATTTCCTCTGGATCCCATCCCAGATACTATGGAAGAGATACTATGGCTAATCATAATCAGACACTCATGAATCACTCAGAGAACATAATATTTTTGTTCAGATTTTTCAGCAACATGACCAAAGCAGTTTTTGTTCTATAACCAACCTGAAACTAGATTCAAATGACCTAGAAAACTGACATTGTCCAAATATCCTTGGAGAAAAATTTCTGGTGCACAGTTCAGTACTTTGCTTGGCTAAGTAGTTCCTGTTTGTGTACATAAACACAGGGCTTTTTTTTGTCATAGAACGCCCAGAAAGGAGTTCCGGCACCTTTTTTGGATGGAACCTTGTACGATTAGGCAAGGCGGGTTGTATGATGTGTGTGAGTTCCGGCACCTTTTTATTTTTTTTACAAAAAAAGCACTGCATAAACACAAATATGTATCTATGGGTTCTTCATTCTTCTTTGTAACATTGCATTCTATTCTAGATAATCCCTTCTTTAACCAAACCACCAAATCTATAATGAGTTGCCTCTCCAGGATGCAAATGCAGTATGAAGTTAAGGAAGTTGCTTTCCTCTAACAAATAATTATATGATTTGAGTAAGCATTTGAGGCAGATAAAAGAGTGAATTGGTTTGTTCCCTGCTTCTAAGTTTACCTTTACTGTTTCTAACCATAACTATACAATTCTTCAGTATACTTGCTTCTTTACATCTTTTAGTATTGGACAGAATTTATATGTGCTGTATGTTAATTGGTTGCAATTCTATACATTTTAAAAAGGATCATATTCTATAACAGAATACTGAAATAACCCAATCAGACATATAGTATGATTTACATGCCCTTAATAAAAATATTATTCTAGTTAGTTGTAGAGACAAATTGCTGAAATAGGAGGAGACTTATAAAGGTTTTGAACTGTTAAATCTCTCTAATGAATTTGTTCAGTTCAATTGGCCAAGGATTGTGCAAGATCTATCATCCTACACAAGAAGTTTCATATTGTCTGAAATATAATATGTAATCCAGTGATCCAATATAAAAACAGCAGGGGGAGATAAATTGCTAGGAATCTTTGCTGGAAAAGGTAAAGATTAGAAGGAAAGAAGGATTAACAGTGTTTCTTTGTTATTTTTCCATATTTCAGGTGTCTTTTTCAGCTTAGGTTTAACTCCAGTAACTGTGAGTAACATGTAATTTAGGTTTGTATTGTATTATTTTGAAAGTGATGTTTGAATTATTTGTGAAATAGATTTTAACACCCTTTAGCAACTGGTTTTCCACAGTTTCTGAGAGTGCCTTAGCGTTCAAGGAAGTAGGTATATAAATGGAAAAAAATAGGACAAGAAATGTGTGCCGTACTTAATCTGCTTTATTTCATGAGGGTAAAAACAAATTTCCATATTCTTGTTTGTGCCTTGTCCAGCATTTTTGTGCCAGTTTTCTCTACCATTCTTCTCTGATATTCCAGCAGGAATTTATTTTACTATGAATTTAATCCATAATTGGTTATAAGGAAAGGGATTTTTATTTGAATAGTTTTGGAGTCAGATGTTTCTTGAAGCAAATCTTGTTTAGCAAATACTACATATGTTTTAGTTGTCCACTTTGTCATGATTCTTGGGTTTCAGATGTATAGTGAGTTGTGGTTCAAGAGTAAATTGTATGGGTATTTAAGTTCGCATTCCAGCCTGAATGAAGATGTTAAATTGCTGTTCTTTAGAAGATTACTTTTCCTCTTTTGACATTTATGCCAAACAGAGGTGTTTTTTTAAAATGGATTGTACACAGCTTTATATATGTTTTACAAGGAACTACTATATTGACATTTGTTTCATTTTTCTGCAATCTAGCAATTATGTGCAAAATGAAATAGCTGAACATTCAAGCCTATATGGTAACAAGAAGAGAAACAAAAAATCACCTTTTCTCCACTTTTATTGAACCTGTGGATTCTCACTTGGTAGTCCTATTCAGAGTGACTTGAACCTTTTTAGGTAATGATAAATGGGGCTAAATGTCTTCCAACCTGTTGGATGAGTTTGTAAGTTTCTTTGCAAGTGGAATTGCTCATATCATTTTTATTTGGACATCAGTTGGGTAAAATTTATTATGGTGAGCAGAACAGCATCTGGTGCTACAATCTGAGCTTCCCTTGAGCTTGGGAAACTGAATAGGAAGGAACTGAATAGGGTTTTCTTTAGTATATGGACTCTGCCAGCTGCAGGATAGGGAAAATAATAGGGGCATTTTCACTGTGGATGTCTGTTAGTAAATAACTTGGGACTACATTGATAGTACATAGGCGAAGAACTTTGTTATACTTCATTAGCAAATAAAGAGGTCATCTTCTGTTAGGTTCATACTCTATCAAATAGACAACTTTAAAACACAATTTTAATTGTTTTAAGCAATTAAAAGAGAGCCTTTTAGACAGCCTAAAACAGTGGTGGCGAACCTATGGCATGGGTGCCAGAGGCGGCACTCAGAGCCCTCTCTGTGGGCACGCGCGCTGTCGCCCCAGTCCTAGCCCTTCAGCTCGGTTTTATAAAACCTTTTTGCTTTAGGCCTCCGCCGCCGTGTACAAAAAAAAAATTCAATCAATCAGTCAATTTCAACTTCTCGCGGGAAAAAAAAAGATCTTGCAAAGTTGGAATTGATTGATTGAACTTTTTAGTCCCACCCAGTCTGCTGTTACCACCGCAGCCATGCCCAGCCAATGGGCCACACCCACCCAATGGGTCACACCCACTCGGCACCCGACGATGCATAAGTGGATTTTGGGTTGCAGTTTGGGCACTCGGTCTCTAAAAGGTTCACCATCACTGGCCTAAAATGTATATGTGCCTTTGATATGGATAACATATGTGCTTCCCACAATGTTTTAGAAATAATACTACTAAGCTGACACAAAACAGCTGCACATAATTTTCCACTTGAGCTTTACTTCTGTGTTCTTCCAGTGACCTGACTGAAGTATTTCTGCCATTATCTGAATAAGTTCAAATATATGCAAACTTTCTGGGTGCTCTGTTCTTATGATTGCTCCCTTCCTTGTCCATGCTGTGAAACCATTAATTAACAATCTTTAGTTAACTATATTTTGTTTAGGTTCTTAGCTAGTGCTGAATGTGGTATCTATAGTTTTTTTATTAAGAACCTGTGGGAAAAGACACTTAAATAAAGATTAGTATTGGTTTTTCAAAATCTGCAAATCCAACACTCTTAAACTATTTATAATACTTACTAAGGCAAAGTATGATTGTCCAGTTGCAAAAAAAGGTGAATTTTGGTAGTCAGCTTCTTCAACATTCTAATATATATTTTTGCTCTGGAAATGAGGATTCATATCTTCAGCTCCCATTAAGGTATTTTTTTTTTCATAAAGAATTTGCTCATTTCTTATTGTCTCTCTTATTGTCCATTTTGGCGCTTAGTCCAATTTACTTTTATTTCTCTTTCAGCTTACTATAATACAAGAGTAGAACTTCTCTCTAGCAGTTATTTTATTCCGTAGGAAAAGAAGAATCTCATTTCCCTTGAACCAGAATTTTTGATTTCTTGAAGTCTATTCCCATTAAAAAAAATTGAACAAGACTTAAAAAATTAACCTAAATAAAGATCAAATCTATTCTTTCTTTAAACAGTTTACTATGCTCTTGGAATCTTGGGGATTATATTAAAATGAATCTGTAATAAAATCCACTCATTTACTGTCTTATTCATAACTTAGCACTTCTCAAATAGTTAATCAAGAAGTATCTTCCATTCATAAGTCACTGCTTAAATAGCATTTTTTCTTAGTTTTTCCTCCCTCTTGATATTTTGTTTTTATGGATGCATCCTTTGTGAGACAAAGCTATGACAAGTTGATATCTTTTTCCAGGTAACGCATCACTTTTGTATCAGTCGGCTTCTTGTAATACAGGATGGTTGTTTTTCTAAACTCATATTTTGAAATGGCATATTTTTATACCTTCAGTCAATATGTAGTACTAAGACATGCGACCTGTATTTTGGAATCATTGAGTTAGAATGGAACATTTCAGCTTTTAAGTCTAACCTCATGCTCAGTAATCCAAATCCCTGATATTTAGCTGTCGTGTCTGTTGCTAAATCTTTATTTTTGCAGAGGAGAATTCAGGAAAGTGGCAATTTTCTTATTGTGATCTAGTTGTTTCTGACAAGTTCCATCGCCATTTAATCATTAAATTCAGTATGTAATCTTGGACCCATCAAATGCTTTCATTCCAATATAAGTCCATCAAAATGTTGAGAGGGTGAAATGGAGGGCAATGTGGGTTTTATTTTGGAATACGAATAGGATAAAAAAAACCTTCTCAACAGGTTGCATACTATGATTGACAAGAATTCAGTACATTATATGACATCATGGTCAATTTAGCCATATTCAAGCTACATGCAGGCGTTTGTGAAATCTCCCTAGGCAAGTTGATACAGGATTTCATATTAACTCATTTAAATAAGTATGATGAGGGTTGGATAATCCAGCAGAGTGCTTCTAAAGTCAATTTCAAATACTTTCTTAGTTGACATACTGTTAGTACAGGCAGATTTGTTATTAAGAAACAATTTTTAATACATAATGTTTAAGTTCTTTTCACAGTAGTCATGTAGTATGTATAAGTGGATTTATTCTTAAACTATCATGTTTAGATGAAATTGAAACACACACACACACAAATTGCAAAGAGGCAGTTTGCATTCTGTCTCCTAGAGAGGTATCAAATGACTTACACTTTCAGAGACAATGTAGGGAAAAATCTTATTGCAGCACTGTGTGCATGTTATCTGTTATCAGTGAAGCTTTCGTTTAATTACAACTACATTTACTCCCCTAAACAGGATTCCGAGAATCTGAAAATAAAATTCTAATTAGAAATTTTAAAAAATAAAAAATTAAATTTCTGATACATTTTCCATGTCTCCAGGGGTAGTAGAAGGCGATCTAGCTGCTATTGAAGCTTATAAATCATCAGGAGGAGATATTGCACGGCAACTTACTGCAGATGAAGTACGCTTGTTAAATCGGCCTTCTGCTTTTGACGTGGGATACACACTAGTTCACCTTGCAATACGTTTTCAGAGACAAGATATGTTAGCAGTTCTGCTTACAGAGGTGAGTTTTCATTACTGCTCATTAGTTAATTCACCGGACTAAATGAATCTGGGTGCCAGTATTGGTTAAAAATTCAGAGTGAGCCCCGTAAAAAATTAGACTAAGAACACAATTTTCTTTGATTAGCACAATTTTTCATTTAATTTGTAATATTTCTGAATCGGAAAAAGTGCTGATCTTTTGTGACTAATTTTCTTCCACATGGAGCTAATGGGAACTTTAATGCACTCTAGGGAAGTGGAAATTCTTTGCAAAGGATGAAGAAAGGCAAAAAATGAATTAAAGTGCATGTACCTGAATTCAGAGACAACCAAGAGTTACTTTTTAAGTAGCAGCCTGGGTCTAAAAAGAGGTGCTTTGACTGTGCTTTTCTGTGTTTTAAAGAAAAAAATCTCTCAAAGGATTTCTGCAGACCATGTAATAACACTGTAGAAAATACATATCTCTCAGTATTGTGCCATTTGGGAACTTTGGGAAACAAAAAGATTTCTTAGATGCCTTAATATTAGGTGTGCTCCCAAAATGTGGTCACATGACCACTGGAGAGATGGAAGTGACATTTTATGATGGCAAAAAGTGCTTGTATAGCCCTTCTGGGTCCATCGTAATTTTAATGGTCTTTAAGAGACCAGTCATAAATTGAGGACTACCTGTGTACCTATTTGGGCCAAGTAAGGCTGACACAGATAATTTTATTTCTAGTGTAGTCCCATTATTTAATTACTGGTCAGCATTGTCTCTCAAAGTAGTGTTTAAGCATTATTGAAACATCAAAATTTTATTATCTCATAGAACACAATAGTGATTCTCGAATTTTTGCATAACTATGACTTTCAAATCAAATTAATTTGTGAGACTATCACCATCAAATGAATGAAATAAATGGTTTTCATGATATTAGGACTTGGTAAAATAATGTTTAATAATTAATTTTTAATTTATATATCACAAAGGTTTTCAAACTTTGTGGTATAACTTCCTGTTATGGGCTTGTGCAGTCAAACCTCTGGATTACAGAAGTGCTTGCATTCTTTCTGTGTTTATCTCCACCAATTCTGTTCATTATGTTTAACAGAAGGTTAAACTAGTCCATGATAAGCTAGTAACCTTTATACCAGAGTGGAAATTTGAACATAAATTTATTTATTACATTTATTTGCTGTCCATCTTGTATTGAAACAACTCTGGGAGGCTTACAGCACTAAAACATTAAAATCCTAAAAGATAAATATTTCTAAAACAATAAAAATGGAAATCACAACTGAAATAAAATGATAGTTAAAAAATGAGGAGGGAGGGAAGGGGGAGAGGAGTAGGTGGGATTGTCCCTTAATTGTTCCTACCTCAACACTTCAATAATGTATCTTGTTGATTCTTGTTTCTGAGTTGACTGAAAAGTGTCTGTAGGAATAGAAATCGCATGATGTATATTTTTGTATATGTAATACTTTTATCTTTTAAAGCAAATAAAGTAATTAAATATCATCTTACAGGTGTCCCAGCATGCAGCTAAGTGCATTCCTGCTATGGTGTGCCCAGAGCTTACTGAACAAATCCGGCGTGAAATTGCTGCATCTCTTCATCAACGGAAGGGAGATTTTGCTTGCTATTTCCTAACTGACCTTGTTACGTTTACGTTACCTGCTGGTAATTACGAGATGCTATTAATTTGTACTTTAACTGGTTTAAAGACTGTATAAAAGTGCCAACTTCTAATTTTTTTTTTTTGTGGGTGTTATGGTAGAACTCTCATTAACCATTTTTTTCATGTGAAGATACCAAACAAGGTTAACTAATACCATTTATAATAGAATTCAGAAAAAAATTAAATTTCTTTGGTGATATTTGATTAGAATTATTAGTAAATAGATTATGCAAGTATTACAATCTGTTTCAAATTCTGATACTTGTTGGGATAATATCTGAAATATCTGTACTTTGTTATTGGCTGATGAATACGGATAGTCTTTGACTTATAACCGTTCATTTAACAACGGTTCAAACTTACAGTGACTTTGGAAAAAGTGACTTTTGACCTGAATTGCACTTATGATCATTGTACCAATCTGCAGTCATTTGATTGCAATTTGGACATTTGTCAAATGGCTTGCATTTACAACCATGTGCAACACGCTGTAATTTGCGACCAAATGCCCAGTGAGGAAACAGGATTTGGTTAATGAATATGTCATTTGCTTAACAATTGCAGTGATTTGCTTAATGATTGCTGTAAAAATTATTGTAAAGTAGAGTCCTACCACAATGACTCGCGGTGGAAGCTCTGGTTCCAATTGTGATTGTAAGAACTACCTGTTGTAAGGACTACTGCTGCTTGACAAAGGATTTTTGTGATTGTGTAATCAGTGCAGGTACAGATTTTCTTTGAAAGAAATTTCAATTGTGACTGAAATTGATGAGATAGTGGAATAGGAAATTATTGATGTATCATATGATTTATATAATGAAGTAGATGTAGTTTGGATATGCAAATAACATCCTGAAGGGAACTAGAGTTTAATCTGCCCAGTGATTAATAATTGTAACTGTAAGTACACACGACTTATATGTGTATTCTCCTCTTTTGTCACCACTTATTTATTTATTTATTTATTTATTTACATCCCCCTTTATTATTTTTTTAAACAATTGCTGTGGTTTTTAGGTTGTAAGCTTTGAGCAGAAGCTGACTGCTACAAAGATAGATTTATTATTCCTATCTTGAAACAAAGCAAATTAATCAAAAATCTCAAATTAATAAAATAGAATTAATAGTCTAAGTCCCAAGTGCTAGATTTATCACATTTGCACCATTTGTTGCTGCATTTTCACTCTAGCTACACAAAACATAGCTATTGTGTTGACATTACCACAATGGGAGTCTAAAAGAACAAAATGTGTGTAATATATTACTATCTTTTCTGGAAGATGTCACCAAACAGTAGCATGTAAAAATTGCAGGAAAGACACCTTGGACAGGTTGGCAGGTTCCTTCCATTAATGGGAATTCCTTCCTATAATAGAACGGATTGGAGTAGCTTGTGCCTAACTTTTTTTAAAAAACATCTTTCAAAACCTTGGGAAGGTTAAAATGTATAAATAGCCATGTTCCTTTTGCTATCAGGACTTTTCTGTTCCTGGATAGGACGATAGCTTCAGTTTGGTATTCAATATTATCCAGTCTTTGAAGGGCTGTCCAAAGCCTATTCAGAGCGGGATGATGGAAGCATATCTGTGTGATTTATTACTGTTTAAATTTTAACTATTTGTGTGTTCTCTTTGACTATATTCTTTCAACTACAGGTAGCTCTCAATTTACAACTCTTCGTTTAGTGACCTTTCAAAGTTACAATGGCACTGAAAAAAGTGACTTATGATCGTTCTTCACACTTACAACTGTTGTAGCATTCCCATGGTCACGTGATCAAAATTCAGATGCTTGGCAACTGACTCATAGTTATGATGGCTGAGGTGTCCTGGGGTTATATGACCATCTTTTGCAACCTTCTGACAAGCAAAGTCAATAGGGAAGCCAGATTCCCCATTGTATTACTAACTTAACAGCTACAGTGATTCACTTAATGAAGGTGGCAAGAAAAGTCGCAAAGTGGGGCAAAATTCACTTAACAAATGTTTCACTTAGCAACATAAATTTTGGGCTTAATTATGCTCGTAAATTGAGGACTATCTGTACCAGTTTCTGTCTATTCATATTATATAATACCTCTCTCATCCACATTCAGTAATCATTCTTCTGTATACTTTTCCCCCTCATTCACAACCAGTTTCTCTTCATTCTTACCAAGCTCCCTTTTTAAACTTATAATTTGTTTAACTGTACATATTTTGGGTATATTGTAATTTGTTTTCACTCTGTCACATGTAGCTTCCAGATCTTCTTTCCATACATTGACATTCCATTAATTTTGTTGGAAGATTAATACAGGTGGTTCTTGCTTAACGATAGTAATTGGGACCAGAATTTCCATCACTAAGCAGTGCAGTCATAAAGCACAATGTCATGTGATCACACTGCTTAGCGACAGCAGTTCTGGCAGTCTACAATTGTCATTTTTAAGCAAGGTCTGCAGGGATTCTGATCATGATTTCTGACCTCCTGCTGGCTTTCCCATTGATTTTGCTTGTGGGAAGGTGGTAGGGAAGGTGGCAAATCACATTGTATGACTTCTGGAGTGGTGTGATAGCCAGAATTTCAGGGACTGGTTGTAACTGAAACATGAATGGAAGTTTGTTAAATAAGGATCACCTGTTTTTACATGCAGGGTCCTCCTCTCCCCTCCCCAAGTCCTTCACATCAATAAATGGTCCTATGAATATAAAGGTACCCACCATAGCTTTGTCAACCTAGGAGTCACACAACAGTGTTTAATAAGACAAAAAAATAATAGATTAGGCTATCAGTTCTACTCATAATCATGTTACTTGCAGCATTCATTGCTTATGGTAGGGGCATAATTCCAGTCAATTCTCAGTCACTGAAGGTGGACCTATCAGAAAAAGGTTAACTTGATCTTTTTTAGATGGAAAGCAGGGCTTAGTCTTACATCTACATCCTCATTAGTCTTAGTTTTGCCCAGATTTTCCTTGACATGGCTGAGGGGAAAAAAAGTTCCCAGCCAGTGTTACCTGTATTTCCATGTAGCATTATCAGTCAGTGTGGATTTATTTGGTCAGTTTTCTGCAAAAGTAACCAGAGCCCAAAAACATTTAAATTTTTAGGCAGACCGACTCCATAATGTCTCTGGATAGCTTACAATTAAAGAATTAAAAAGAAAACTATATATCCAAGAAAGGGGAATATAACCATCTGAAAGATCAATCTCATAAAACAAAAATAACAAAAGGATTTTAAAAAACCTCTCAAAGAGGTTTAACCACCATCCTAACCATCCCAGATTATCTATATGTCTGCCTCTCTTCCATTGTTTCAACTTGGCTCACTAGATCTAGCAGAGAGGGTGTGCTTTAGGTCCCCTCTATTAAACAATGTCATCTTTTGGAGTTGAGAGTTGTACCTTTTCTGTGGCAGTTCTTGTTCTATGGAACAGCAATCCCTAGACCAGGGACCGATTATGTGGAGAGAGGTTTTTCCGCGGACTGGAGGGGGTGTGGTTTTGTGTGCTGCCTGCATCCCACGGAAGGGGCTTTGCTTGTTTGTGTGGACCGGTTGCTGGCATGCCACGGCCTGGTACTGGTCCACAGACCGGGGGTTGGGGACCCCTGCCATAGACATCTGAATGGTCCCAACCATGTTAGTCCTTCATAAGATTCTGAAGAACTGGCCGTTTCCCCAGGCATTTGGGCCAGGAAGTTAGGTGAGCTCTGCTGCTGATTTAGCTTTTCACAATTAAAATGTATTGTTTTACTTTGAGCATCATGGTCATTGGCTGGAGTTTTGCTTTAGTGCTTGTATATTACCCAGAGTCACTATGGTGAAGATGGAAGATCATATAAATAATTTAAATCAACAAATAAATCCACAGTATGTCATGCTTTCTAATCTAATTATTATTTTGCAAGCTAGCATTTTTTTTTGTTTGTATCCCATTGACTAGGAAGTACATATAATGCACTGACAACTCAAGGTATAACATATAAAATATATCTGTACAATTATTTGGAAACATGCCCCCTCCCTCATGCATCCTCTTCTATCAGTTGTTTCTTAATCCTGCTCTTCATTGGAGTTCCAATATTCTTGTCTGTTATTCCATGTAGATTGACACGAGGAGAATGATTTTCATTTGGAGCTTTTCTTTAGGTACTCCATGGCAAGCCCATTCTCAGGAGCTTAATTTTTTTTCCAGTTCAACAGAGCTTAAATAGGCATTCTATTTGTAACCTGTACTATGACTATAGCAAGCATTTTATTTTCGTGTTTTCAGATTATTTGTAAAAAGTAATTTCATCAATATAAACTCATTATATTTGAGTTATCATATATTTTTGTTGCAAAAGAGTTTTTGGAAGAGGCTTTGAAAGCAGAATACCTCTTCAATTTTACAATTATACTTAATTTGTTCTGATTCATTGGAGTATATAATGCAAAACAATTTGGCTACACTACTAAGTGAAAATAATTATTTTTGGTGCATCGGGTGGGCCAGGAAAGAGAGCAAGAATAATGTTATTTGAATTAATAAGAAGCCTTTTCTACTGAGTGTCTTAATAGAATTTTCAAGCCTACTTTCCTAAACTCATTTTATCTAGAAGCTCTAATTAACAGGATTGTGTTATTTATTATGTTTGCTGCACAAATATGTTACTATTTCATGGGAATCATATAAACTAAAAAATACTTTTTAATTAGTTTACTCTCATCAAACTCCTGCTGTATATATTGGTTGTCTAACATATAATTGAAATGCATAAATATGTTTACTATTTAATGTGTAACATGAATTCAGGTAGGACAAATGGAAAAGTTTTGAGTTATTTTATAATGCATAACTATTATAATTGCAGCTTACATTTTAAGGACGTATATTTTTCACTTTTAACCAATAACATTTGTATATAGATTCATACAAGAATCCTGCATTGTCAAATTCCGTAGTACACTATGTTATTCAGTAAATATATAGCCTGAGTAGATTTAGCAAGAAATATTTTAAGTCTATGGAGAAGTATTTTTTTTAGGTTTTGGAACTGGCATTCCAAAAGGAATAATCAAGGTACTATCTTTTTATAGCAGTAAAAAAACAACAGTCTTTTTCAAGTTACATTTTAAAATGTAAGTAGGGCCAGCAGAAAATAGTTGTATTATTTGGTGTTAGTTCACAATAAAAATTTATATATGTGTTGAGAACTATTGCATTGATACCTCAAGTATCACTTGATGAGTTTAGATATGAAAGAAAAAGAACTGCATGAAAAAAATGATTATGTTCTGAAGAGCTGGTTCTGAAGAGTGTTCATCATATTGTGTGAAACAGGTTTTAAAGTAGAGAAAGTTGTACATTTAAGTGAATTGTTATGGTCAGATGTGTAATAATCAAATGTCTTCCTTTATAGATATTGAAGATTTGCCGCCAACAGTTCAAGAGAAGCTTTTCGATGAAGTACTTGATAGGGATGTTCAAAAAGGTAAATATGTGATATAATATATAGTTTACACAGTATGATATTATTAACTGTGCTTTAGAATTTACTTTGGAAAAGTTTTTACCTGAGATTTATGGAATCTTAATTAAAGGAAGAATAGAACTATTAAAGAACAGTAGGGAAAAATTAAATATAAATATACAAATTGCATATGTACTGACGGTAATAAATTGATGTTCTTTTCTTTGATGTATTATCAAAAGGGTATAGGTGGCAGTATAATTCAGTAAATTTCCCCAAAATGTCATAGTTTTCTGAAAGGGACAAGTAGAATTGAAGTAGAAAAAATGGTTGGTTATACATATTAGGATTTATTTGTATTTTATTGACAAAAACATAGAAACTTGACTAATTTGGAGACAGTTTCTTTTTATACAGTGCTGGGATTGGCTCAGACCTTTACAGTTGTCAAACTGTACATCATAGTTGTACTTTGGTAATTAATAAAAAAATGATTTTAATGATGTATAGGTTTAATGTAAAAGATAGGTATGTTTGTTTTTCTTGCTATCTAAAAGAGAACTAACTGATTAGTTAGTTAGCTATAGATACTGAGAATAGTTATAAGTAAAACTATAATTGTCCTCTTTTAAAATTATGAAGACCATTCTAATATCTTTCCAACAAAACTGCTTAACAAAAACTAAGTAAGATGGCTTTTGGATAGGCTTTCAATTTTGTTTTTTACTGTTTTCATTCCCTGGAGTAGCAGCTAGATATTGGAATCAAGAGATAGGTTGGCAAATTTCAGGGCAAGTAAAGCAGTTACAATAATATACACAGTAGTGCAAAATAATGAGCAAGTGAGAATCATTCATTTAGTTGGCAATTGTTTTTTCCCCACAATTGCTGCTCTTTGAAGTAACCTTAGAATAGAAGAATTTTAAGGTAGGTTAATATTGTATTGGAGTTTCAATTGTTTATTTATTTAGGATAATGTTTTAATCAAATATCCTTAAAACCATATAATATGGAGCCTGTTAACTAATACATTAAGTGATAGTAAATGAATTGACCCTAAGAAAAAGAATGTAAAATTCAGGAATATTTTTATTAGGTCAGCCCAAAATTTCTGAATTTTCAACGACTTTAAATCAAACAAGTTGGCAAACAAAACCAAAACAGAAAAGAGTGGGAAAAATAAATAGGTTTAATGCTTGGGCTAAGGGTTTTACAGATAGAGAAGACAGGAGAGGCAAGGGACCTCAAATTCTTTGCCTCCATGCCTTCAAAAACCTGGTTATAAGGATGGGGACCCAATAACCATGGCTGAAGAGCAGAGGGAAAGAAAGAAGGGAAAAATGAAAGAAGCTGCTATAACAAATCGTCTGGAAATGAGGAAAGGGGGGGCTGCATCACAAGGCAGAATCAGAGACCTCGAAACACTCAAATCTGACCACTTTCTTCCTTTTTTCCTGAGCACGCCTGGGACTCAGGCCTGCTACTATCACAACAGCAAAGAAGAAACAGGCAAGAAACATTTTCTTGCTGGACTTCAGTTCTGGCAATTTGGAGATGCTAAGCTCCCCACTATTGCCTTGAAGCTAAGAGAGTTTTACTTAAAAGCCTTAACCTGAAGTACTGAAATTTAGACATTTTGGTATGGAGGTGATGTTAGATTGCTGAAAGTTCTGTCAGGTGTTACTAGAATGAAAAAAGAAATCAAGCAATTCGTCTGGTTTATCTAAAAATAATAAAAGGTGCTAAATGGTTTTGCGTCTTGATCATTGGATTTAAGATGGCTGATTGGGTATTATTTCTATTTTTTAGAACTAGAAGAAGAATCTCCCATTATAAACTGGTCACTGGAATTGGGTACACGTTTGGACAGTAGACTTTATGCACTTTGGAATCGGACTGCAGGAGATTGCCTGCTTGATTCAGTTTTACAAGCTACCTGGGGCATTTATGATAAGGATTCGGTGCTACGTAAAGCTCTTCATGACAGTTTACATGATTGTTCTCATTGGTAAGCAGAAATGGTTTTGCTATACAATCAAATAACTTTATTTTACAATTATGGTTTATTCCACTTTTTTCAAACAAAAGTCCAAAGCTTTTAGATTTGGGAGGGATAGATTTGCTAGTCCTTTACAGCAATAACAACATACTTTCCCAATCTTACTCTGTCGTAAAATATTGAACCTTTCGTGTCAGAAAACCTTGTAATTTATACAAACAGTAAGTTTTGTCTATATATTATATAAAGTGACATTTAATTAGTCAACTGAGGTCCAATGGGGTTTATCTGAAATAATTATTTAAACATCTTGTCACGTCTATGTTTTTGCTGTGATTGGGGAAGTTTGTACTAGCACAGCCTTCTGTACCTTTGACCTTATCTACAGACGTGTGGATTTCACTGAGAGAACTTTTAGCATTGGCCATGTAGGCTAACCCTAGGGGTTGTCCTGAAGACACCATGAGTTGGAAAGATTATCCTGGCTCACTGCGAAATAGGTGTGGAATCAGAATCAGTATTATCACCAGTATATGCAGTCCCCCAGCAATGTAAGACATTGCTCATGTTTTGTTTGATTGTCAGTTATATGCCCTTTTTAGAGTTGAATACTTAGCATCCCTATTTGAAAAAAACAGTCCATTGGCGTCTGAATGACAGATTGTCCTATTTCCTTCTGGGTTCTAATCTACATATTGTGAACAGAACTGCTTAGTTTATAGTTAAGGCATTTGAGCCTGTTACATCAAACATATTGGGATAAGCTGTAAAGGTTATGTATTTATCTGTTGATTCATATTTTCCACATTTGTATTTTATTACTGTATTTTCTTTTATCTATCTTACCCTGAAATTAGATTCTGTATTTTATTTTTGTTTTATATTTTGATATGGTGTTAAGACTAATCAATTATGTACAGTAACTCTCTCTCCTATCCATCCATCCATCCATCTCACTATTCATGTTAAAATGTTATTTGTAAAATTTATAGCTGTTGTATGAGCATGTGCCATAAAGTAGTAAGCAATACTTGATGGAAGAAGAAAATAATTAAAAAACTTAAGTGTTTGCAGTTTTAGACATTAGATCACATACATACAACAATTATTTTTGGAAGGTTACCTAGTCTATTAGCGATGAAATGATCAATTGATAATTCAGATTCAGGTGGGAAAGGATGATTCACACAATCCCGAATGAATCCAAGTCTTTGCATAGGGGTCTCTCTCTCTCTCTCTCTCTCTCTCTCTCTCTCTCTCTCTCTCTCTCTCTCTCTCTCTCTCTCTCTCTCTCTCTCTCTCTCTCTCTCCCTCTCCCTCTCCCTCTCCCTCTCCCTCTCCCTCTCCCTCCCCCTCCCCCTCCCCCTCCCTCTCTCTCTCACACACACACATGATGAAATAAACTGTTACGCATGTACTTTTTATAGGTTCTATACCCGATGGAAAGAATGGGAGTCATGGTATTCTCAAAGCTTTGGTTTACATTTTTCACTGAGAGAAGAACAGTGGCAGGAAGACTGGGCATTTATACTTTCTCTTGCTAGTCAGGTAAGAATGTCACTAAGTAAAAGTGGAACATGGGAAAGACAACCTTGGTGAGAAATGTATTTTCATTTTTCTTAACAAGTTCTGTAGATTTCTGTTTTGTAATGCATATTTTAGATTACCTGACTCAAAACTCTTTCATTTAGTAGGCCTCTGACATTGTTATAGGTATTTTAATTTGATACTTGTATTTGTGAGTGCGTCAGATGTTATAAGCACTATCCAGCCAAAATCATCAATGGAATTTTTTACATTTTACATAAAATTGAAATTATGTATACAGAATTGGGCTTAATTATACTAATTTGAATAGTCACAGCTTCTTTAAGCTATATGTAGACTATCTCACTGAACTGAATGGGAATTTCTTCTGAATACACCTGCAAATCTAATTATAGATGAATTTGGGAACTGTGCTAACTTTGAGCATTTATAATAACCTATGTAATCTTTAGGAAAGCCTGCATAATTAAATATTTTAAGCTTCATAGATTTTTCTTTGGATAATATTATAGTTATGCCTACCTGAAGATATCTCCGAAGGAAAACAGGATTATATAAAAGTCAGACTAAACATTAGAAAAAAAATCAGTATACTTCCCATTTTTCTTGTCGGCCATTGTTGCCAATTTCCACTAAATCAGCCTGGAGGTTCCTCCCCACCTCCCCTGCCCAAACAAATATGTGTATGAGATACCCTGGTGAGTTCATACTGACCCGGAGGCTACATGCACCAATAAGAGAGAGAAAAATAATATTAAATGGATTATAAGGCACTCAGTTGTGAATTAGTTGATGTCCTATTTACATATATACACACTACATAGGAATTATTCTTTTTCAGATTAATTTCTCTTACATGCATGTTGTAAAATGTAACGCATGTTGTAATCCACATTCACATCAGAAAGAGAGATTGCAAAAAATATTGGCTCAGAATGGCTCAGGATGTTGTAGCAAGTCCTATTGTGTGCTTTATGTGTTTGATAAATTTGTTTTATCAAATTTACATGGCCATCCATCTCACAGCCTCATGCTGATCTCACTGTAGTAATCCATTTGGGAGGTGACTAGGGCATGATTGTGAGCAGAGACCCTGAATTAGGAATGGGCACACAACATGAAGCTGTGCAAAGGCCCTCCTAGCCATCACTTCTACCTGCTCTTTGAGCAGGAATTGTGAATCCAGGACCCTCCTCCCAAGTTTGTGTATTAGCATAGTTGTAAAACTGGTGGGCTCCAAAACCCAAGCCACTCAATCTTGCCAAGGTTCAGCTGAAGCCTGTTGTTCCCTATCCAAACCCTCACAGCCTCCAGATGCCAGGATAAGACATTAAAAGCCTCACATCACTTAATTCACCAGGTGCAGAGATACATAGTTGGGTATCATCAGGGTACTGGTGATAATTCACCCCATGGTCATACCCATTCAGTAAGAATGCAAAAACATTAGCTCAGTTTGGGCACACATACTTTGTAGCAAGTCCCATTATGTTTACTTGCTCTTACCTCCAGGTAAACGTGCATAGTCTGTTACTATGCTGGAAATGGGTCTATTTAGCCCAGCTTACTCCATGTAATTAAGATACAAACTGGAGAAGAGATCCTTGGGGTATTGAGTTGTGTTTTTTTTCCCTTCTGTTTGCAACAAGGAAACAGGTTGATAGAGGTCTTTGTGCTGGGCTGCAAGCACATGGAAATCTATGCATGCTTACTCTGTAGAAAATCCCATTTAGTTCATTGGCTCTTATTCCCAGGTGAGTATTTTTAAAATTTCTAGTCCTGTTCAATCAGCATGCTACCTCATTCTCTTCTCATTCCCTTCCATTCCCTTCCATGTGTAGAGGATAAGGGTCTGCAGTGGAGAGACTTCTGTCCCTGGAGACTCTGAAGATTTAAAGATTTTTCTGAATCTTCATGTAGAGAATCTCCATGGGTAGAGGAGGCTCTCCATTGCAGATACCCTCACTCACTGCATGTGGAGGGCGTCAGGGAAGGCAGGACTAGTATGCTTGTCAATATGTCCCCCTGAAAAATTCCTCCATCTGCTGCCTCCATTTCATGCTTTATTTATTTATATCTCCTGCCTATTCATCTGCTTTCAACAACATGCTTCTGCTATTGTATTTTTCCTCCCCCCCCAATATTTTGGGGGAAAGAGCATTGCATTCTTTCAGATCAATATGATTGTAGCTTTCTGTGTGTATATGTAACATTCTTGGTTGTCTAAAAGGCATGCATACTTCCTGTACTCGCCCAGCATTTTGAGTTTCTGCTCTGGTTCTATGGATCTAAATTGCATAATGTAAATTGTAATGTGTAATTATTTTATAATAATGTCAACATCGTTACCGTAATCATTTCAGCTGACATCCTGCTTGTTTTTCTGTGCTTAGGACACTGGTTAAACAACACAGTTCTTGTTGCTTGTTTACTAAGGTTTGAGAGCAGTATTCCAAGCTGGTTTAAAAAGCTGGAGAGTGTTGCATCTCTATTAGTATTGTGAATGGTGATTATATAAGTGCTTTCTAACTTCTGTTCAGATGAATGTACTTTATTTGGTTGTTTCATACATAAATATGCTTATTGTCGGTTGAAACTGAAGTTCCCTAGTCTCCTTAGTTTTCAGAAACCAAAAGACAAATCATCTTCTCTTTAAAGGGAGAATGAGAGTTACATTGAGGCTTGTATCAGTATGTGTGGCAAGATGGATGACAGGCCTAGCCCAAGAGTTACATATAGAACAATCCGCCAAAGCTCAGTTGCTTATACCGTATAGTTAGAATGTTGCCAAACTACATCTATTCTTCTCTAACTCTAGTCTAAGGGATATATCCTGGGAGATTCTAAGGAGCGACTATCCTAAATCTCTTCCTCTTTTTCTGATCTACCCCTGGGCTGTGTTGTCTCACACACACACACCCCAGAATGTGCTCCTTCCTTCTTGGGAAACTGCTACTTCACTGTAGTCCATCACACCAGCTTCCCCTTTGTAGGCACATTCCATCACCCTAGGAGACTTACCCCAGTGACTTGTGATCTTTCCTGGCTCCTTCCTCATTAGCCTTTTTGGGGAAGCCAAGAGTGAAAGTTGCAAATGATCATAGGGCTGCAACTGGTCGTAAGTGCAAGTCGGTTGCCATCGCCCTAGTTGCAATCATGTAACTTCAGAACTCTGGGGTGGCTGGAACTCCAAGGACAGGTTATAAACAGTGTTTCTCAACCTCAACAACTTTACGATTTGTGGACTTCAAGTCCCAGAATTCCTCAGCCAGCATGCTGGCTGGAGAATTCTGGGAGTTGAAGTCCACACATCTTAAAATTGCTGAGGTTGAGAAACACTGGGTTATAACCATTCATTTAGCATTGTCATAACTTTGAATAGTCACTGAACATATGATTGTAGATCAAGGACTACTTATATGTATAGACAGATGGAATCCCACAGGTATTGGGTCATTTGATTTGTCACTGATGAGTTGGATGAAGCAGGGCACTTTGTAATATTTACAATCAAGGCACTAATGATGTTGTAACAATTATTACTATGACTAGAATATATTCTCCCAAAGCTGGAATGTTTAGACTGATAACAAAAAATTTTTTAATGAATAATGTGCACAACTCAGAAGTTAATAGTGAGCACCATATGCTTAACTGTAATTAAATATAATTTTGTACACTGAGAGTAAGCCTACAAAATGTAACATGAATAAATGATGATAAGAATTCACATTGCTTCACTGTAATATCTGTCAGTAATACTTTTTAAGGTTTTAAAGTGTGCTAAGTCAAATTTCACCATAACATTAAAATTGCTTCTCTAGTCACTATATTAGGTAATATGCAGTAATTTTGCATGTAGTCTATTAACATAAGAAAAAAAACCCTGATATCCTTTTGTATACGTTCTCTTATCCCCTTTTCTTTTGCAACTATAATTAAAACTGGATAGCATTACTAAGACAAACTAATGGCTTTTCTGATCTTGGTTTTTCTCATGTAATGTATGCCTCATTAAATGGTGATTTCCCAGATTATATTTACACTTTAAGAATACAATTAAAATGTTTTGATAATCAGCATTTAAAAAGTTGATTTCTAAGAACTTTTCAGTTACGGTAAAACCTCAACAGGCCATTCATAGGAAGGATGACTATTAGACGAAATTACTGTTAAATCTGAAATATATTTTGCACATGTGTAAAATGCCTATCTACCATTTTGCACATGTGTAAAAATATGCATAGGACCTGCTGGTTGATTAAAGACGGCAAGATTCAGTGTTATAGCCTTAATCGTGTCCACTGCTCCCTTCACTTTTTATGGATATAACCAGGAGGAATAGGACTCTGGCTGCAAGGGAGCAGGAAACACTGTTGATTTCCAGAAATCCCTGTCTAAACTGCTGTATCCCACTGCACATCTTCTCAGTGCCCCCGGTGTCTCAATGGGGCAGATCCCATTGGTCCGCTGCTGCCACAAATCTTCTCACCAGTTCCCTTCCCATTTTCAAAGAGCTTACCTATAATTTAACAGACGTTGTTATTTCAGAGATAAGTCTGGTCTCTATTTTGATCTGTTGAGTTCATTTAAATGGTGGTCTTATTGTACTGTACTAAAATCAAAAATTAATGTTATTGCTTTGTGTCACCACATAAAAACAATTTGTTTTTGAAACAGCCTGGCGCAAGTTTGGAACAGACACACATTTTTGTACTTGCACATATTCTTAGAAGACCAATTATAGTTTATGGAGTTAAATATTATAAGAGTTTCCGGGGAGAAACTTTAGGATATACTCGTTTTCAAGGTAAGTATGATTTATAATAGAAACAAGATTTTAATTTAAAACGTTGAAAAGATACTGGGAAAATCTGTAATTTAAAGAAATTCAAAGTAGTAAATTTAATTACTATTATGTTTAAAGTTCTACTGTTTTTAATAATTTTCTTGAATTTTGTTTCTTTTTCCTAATTCTTTTTTTTACTTTTTTCATTTTTTAGTTTGTATTAGTTTTTATTGCTGTAATTGTAATTTTTAATAAAATTGCTATTAAAATACATTGGAAGGTTACACTGATTGTGATTCAGTGCAATAGAAGCATTTAGAAATACTTTGAGTATTTTGAAGTTAATAGAAATATAAGTAACTTCTGAGTTCAAGAGTTCAATTTGGTATATGCTTGTCATAATGAAATGTAGAAAGCATAATATTTAATATCAGAAATCTCATTATAGTATTATAATTTATCTTTAGAATACAACCATCTATAAATTGTCTTTTGTTATTATTGTGATTGGTAGCCTAAAGCAATTTGTGACATAAAATACAAGTCCCTAAGGGAAGTTTCACACATTCTTCTTCTTTCTGTAGTAACCTGAAAACAGTGTAAAGAAAGTTTTCTATCTTGTTTAGTTTTAAGATTTATAACATCTTAAACTCTTTTTATAGGAAAAGCGCAATGTAAGAACTACTTTCAGTTTAGTAGGAATTTTAGATCTTTAATAATTAGAACTTTTAAAGTAAGAATTACAAATTATGGATTCATTAATTTGTGAAAAGCTTCACTGTGAAGTTCAATAGAATAGTCTTAAAGATGAGACAATTGTTCTTTCTAAGTTATTACACACATTTAGAATGTTGAAAGTGCGAGTAATCTTCGCTTATCGACAATAATCGGGATTGGGAATTCCATCACTAAGCAATGTGTTCATAAGGCAGAGCATCACGTAACCATAGTGGCAGTTCTGACCCTTTTAGTTGCTCTTGTTAGGCAAATCCCACCTGGTTGCAGTGTTTCACAGTCATGTGATTGCCATTTGCAACCTCTCTCCAGCTTCCCCACTGACTTTGTTAGAAGCCAGAGATGAAGAGTGGAAATGGTGATTATGTGACTGACTGCAGGATGCTCACTGTTGCCGAGGGCCCAAATTGTGATCACATGACCACAGGGACACTACAGTGGCTGCAACTGCAATGACTCATCAAAAGTACCTCTCTTTCAGTGCTGTTGTAACTTTGAATGGTCACTGAATGAGTGGACATTAAAAAAGAACTAGCTAGATGTCCTGGTATTCGCACAAAATTCACTACAAAATGAATATAACCAGCCAGAAACCATCTATTTACAAAAAGGAGTGGAGTGTAGGAGTTTTTCTGAGCTGAGTTAAAGAGAATGAACTGAAATCAAGAATTGAAATAGGTCTTGCGTAAATTAATTGCCTGTGGTTATCTGCATCTTAAAATTAAAGCCTACTAAATAATAAAAGTATTGTATGTCTGCTGAATATTGAAAATAGTCTGTGAATTCTTGGCCACATCTAATTTCATTTGCACTTATCTTTCTATCACAATTTCACATAAATTACTAAATTTGAGATGATACAAAGTCTTCATTTGTGTCATCATACATTACAACCATTGCCTGAGAATTATACCATTTGCTGGTAGCAGAACCTAAGTTATTGTTAACTTCTTTAACATCTTGTTTCCTGCAGTACATTATGCCATTCACTAATAAACTAGTAAGAGCAAGGAAGGGACAACAATGGGGCTTAGATAAATTTAGGAGGATAAAACAGTCGGTTGCTAATCTTGATAATTACATGCTACTTCCAAAATCAGAGATTGATATATGAGACAGTAGCAGAAGCTTGTGCTCTCATAATCATCTTGTGAGCTAATCGTTGGCATCTGATTTACCAAAAAAAAATATGTGGGTCTGATGAACATCACTTTATGTTAATATGGCAGTTCTTTAGGATCCTCTTTCACTTTATGAAATTTAAATTGAAAAGACATGAAAGGTCCCAGGACAAGCTCAAGTATCTTCTTAGATTTCTGGGAAAGTGAAGACACATAACAGGACTGCTATAGAAGCTGCAGTTAAAACAATAGAATTGGGGTTGTTGTTGGGTTGTTGTTTTTTTTATATATAAAATACATTGGTATGTTGCTACTGTCTCTACTCTTGGATGTATTCTGAGCAACATGTTAATACTTTAAAAGGGTATGACTTCAGTTGGAATTATTTCAGTTGCTGTGGGAATTCCTTTAGAGCTAACTCTAAATATTTTGGGGGTTACATGATAGTATTTATAGTTCAGGTAGTTCTTGGCTTATGGCTGAAATTCATCCCAGAATTAGGGTCCTAAGTTGAAGCCTCATGTGACTGGATTCAAAGTTATAATCGATTTTTATTATGGTTTTTAAGCAAATCCATTTTGGTTAACCCTGTAAAGTGGCAAAAAAGTCATGGTCATCTGACTGCAGGATGCTGCAAATGGCCATTAAGGTGGATCAGTTGCCAAGTGTCCAAAATGTGATTATGTGACAATATGGATGTGTATGGGCTTTGTAACTCTGAAAATGGATCAGAACTAGTTCTGGGGAGGTGTGTCAAATGGCTGTTAAACAGCTGGTTGTAAAAGAAAGACTACTTGTAGATTCAATTATTAGAATATATTTGCAACTTTTTATATCCATTAATTAATAGAGACTCAACTTGCTACTGAAAAGTATATTAAAGGCTTATGTTCATTGTCATGCTTTAGAAATCTTCATCAAAAACAATACATCAAGTTCATCTTATTTATCTTTGGCACCTTCCTTTTTTCATAGGTGTATATTTGCCTTTGTTATGGGAACAGAGTTTTTGTTGGAAGAGCCCTATTGCTCTGGGCTACACAAGGGGCCATTTCTCTGCTTTGGTTGCCATGGAGAATGATGGCTATGGCAATCGAGGTGCTGGTGCTAACTTGAACACTGATGATGATGTTACTATTACTTTTTTACCATTGGTTGACAGTGAAAGGAAGCTGCTGCACATTCACTTCCTGTCTGCTCAAGAGGTAAGAAATGCTTTCATAATTATGGTTACATCAGAGATATTCCTCAAGTATTAAATGAGAAAACATAAAAGCCCCCCCCCCAAAGTAGATTTTTGAATTGGCCACAGCAAGTGTTACACATCACTTGTTTCTTTTAGTTGGCAGTATTCTAAACCAATAGTTGGCAGTATTCTAAACCAGTATTCTAAACCAATCTCTGGGCCGCGGCCCACTACCAGGCTGTGGCATATTTGCAACTGGGCTGTGCAAGTGGTGAGTTAGTAGGCACACATGTAACTTGACTCGCATGAGTAGTGGGCCGGTGCACACACGCATGCACACAACTCTCACGAGCACCTTGCAGTTGAGCTATGTGCATGCGTGTGCGCATTGGCCTGCTGCTTGCACAGCCGGTTCCCCTCTCCCCCTATCCCAGCCGGGCCATCAAACCACAAGACCAATGTTCTAAACTGACCATGTTGTCTATATTTTTTCTCCAAAGATTGGTAATGAGGAACAGCAAGAGAAGCTGCTTAGGGAATGGCTGGACTGTTGCGTGACAGAAGGTGGAGTCCTGGTTGCTATGCAGAAAAGCTCTCGCCGGCGTAACCATCCCCTGGTAACGCAGATGGTGGAGAAATGGCTTGACCGCTATAGACAAATCCGTCCCTGTACATCCCTTTCAGATGGAGAGGAAGATGAAGATGATGATGATGAATGAAAAAAAAGAGATACCAGCTGCGTATAGTGTATGGTGACAACCCCAGCTGTTGGAGCAGTCTAGCAACTTGTTGCATGGTGACCCAATTGTAGCAGGAAACAACCTGCATAGGATTTTGAGTGGGCATGGGAAGAATTCAGAGACTCATCTGATGCAAGAAGGAAGTATGTTGGTTGGACTAATTTGTAAACAAGACAAAGAAAGCAAAGTCCTAATTTTATTACAAGACAGAAAGCATTTTTCCGGTTGTACATCTGCCCTTAATTATACCACATGTGGTTGTGTAAGAAGGTTGAAAATAGGAAAAAAGTGTAACCAGCATCTTACAATTATTGAAGGAAATTCTTTTAAATAAGGGCACTTAAAAGCACATTGTTGATTAATATCTGTTCCTTTGAGACTTACAGTAAAATTTGATTATTTTGCATCTCTTTTTAAGCATTCTGACATATTTCCTTGAAATAACATTTTATATGAAATCTTGCTAATGCCCAGATCAGATCATCAGATCATGTGGCTTTTTTTTCTTTCTTTTTTTGTTGATGCCATATATCCAGAGTAACTCATACGTGTTAAAAATGTATTGTTCTGTTAAATTTAATATTGTGCCCATTACAGTATAATAAAACGAAATTTTAAAGGGAAAAGATATGGAAGGGATGATAAATTTTGACTAAGTGAACTGTTTTCTGTAAAGACTTCTCTAGTATCCATTATTACTTTGTATTACAACTTTGAAATAGTTTCTCCCCCCCCCCCCTTTTCAGGCTACTTAAACTAGTAAAAAAAAAAATGCTGTTCCAGTGAACTTTATGCTAAACAATTGTGTGGAGTTTGTTAAACTGAACTGCATTTTGCCCAAACCCGGTCTTGCTGTGAGTTGTACTATAGAAATTAATATTTTATCAAGCCTTTTCCCATGCAGGTTAAAATTGCCTCCACTGAGGATCATTCCTTGGTCATTAAAACTGAGTGAGAAAGCACTTTGACTGTTTTCCTTAAAAGCCTTCATTCTAAAGTTTGTTGGGAAGTCCTGTGTACAATTTTTCCTTAAAATGTAACCTTCAGAATTCTGTGCATGTTGACTGATTGTGGCCACATCTGAACTTATACGCTTCCTGAAACTGTCAGTTCAGAATATATTCTCCAGTAAAAAAAAAAAATCTTTTTATTATACTTGATTACCTTAGCTATGCTGTATTGAATGGATCCAGCCCAATCCAGAACCTCACTGTAAGAACACTAAAGGTTGAATAGTTTTGTATGCAAGATGTAGATCCTGATAAGCACTTTTTAAAGGCCAATGATGGTAGAAATGATGACATGGAACCTCTTCTTATAAGATGGAATCCTGGTTTAAGAATCTGAACAGAAACTGTACCTTTTTTTAAATGGATGTAAAAACATTGGAGCCATTCTGAATTAATTGCTTTTTAAAATGGTACATTTCAAGCAATTGAAAGTTAAAAATTTCTCAACATAATTCTACTGACAAATAAACAATGACATTTTATCAAGGTACTGTGTTGAAACATATCAATACATTTTTTCACTCTTGTAGAAGCTTATTAATGTTTTACACATGAATCACATTGCCCTGTGATAAATTTACAGAGCAGTAGAATCATTGGATTTCTTTTCCTACAACAGGTTGTGCTTTGATATATTCCTATTTTTAAGTTTTCCTTAAAAGGGATATAGTTTAATACCTTAGTCCTCTGGTTGCTCTTCATTCTTTTCTATAAAATTACTGCGTTCCTGAACTAATAGAATAAATTAGATGATTATGCTTGAGTAGAATGAAGAACATTGAAATGTTGCAAGTTGTGCTCCAAATCTATGTTATTTCTCAATTGTAGCCGCAGTTTCTAGCAATGAGATATGACCTTGAATATAAACCTTATTTTATTTTTGTTTGCCCTATTAATAGGAGAAAATGTTTAGCTGTATTTAACCAAGGCTTTAGGCATTTTCTTGAATAAAAGCATTTGGCTGCTATTAGGGATAAAAAAATCAGCAATATACATTTTATTTTCATGTTATACAGCTATACAAGCAGCAATATACATATTTATTATATAGTCACAGTACATCCTTATGAGGCTCAGCGGAAGTCGGTGGTTTTATAGATTATAATTCGAATTGCTCTCATAGTACAGCAGCACAGTTATTAATTCAATTATAGCTGTGCCTTGAAACACTAACTGCAATAGTACGTAGGCCTCTCATTTGATGTAAAATTTTTGGAAGGGTTACATTTTTTTAAACCAAATTTGGAGGTATTCTGACATGATATCCCTGCTTTAAAGCTAGAGGTCAGACTTCAGTTTGATTTTCTTTTCATACAGTAAGTTGTAATGTTTCCATAGAGTGCTCCAAATTAAACTATTTTGCTGTTCTATTTTTTGAATTTCATTTTTTTTAAATCTTTAAATACCTAAATTGTTTATCCTGTTCAGTTATTTTGTTCCATGTCTTACTTCAAAGCCTGCAGTTCTCTTGGGGAAAAAAACCCCCACCTCACTACTTCTATGGTTAGCATCAAAATGATTTGCCATCTCCACCATTTTGTATGGTAATTATTTTCCCCCAAAGCCGTGTTCTATTGTAGTGAATTATGCTTTCTTAATTATACCAGTATTTTATGAATTCTTTTAGAGGCATGCCTCTTCTATATCATTTAACTTAGATTTAGCCTAGTAAGATAACTTTTACAATGGTGACTGGTATACAAATTTCAACACCAGGTCTCTTCTAAATATCTATTTTAAGTGGGGAGTTTTGCCTTCAAATTAATATCTGAAAGTAATACAAAATTAATGTCTCCATGCAACACATTCACTAATGGTAGAACATTCCATAACAAATATGATTGGCTTATTCAAGTATTATTTTTCATGAATGCTAATTATGCCTATTTGGAATGCTATTTCCTGGTTTAAGATCAAAGTACCAATAATAGCAGCTTCTAAAAAATCACTAATGCCAGTGTAAATGTTTTGTTACTTCACCTTCATTTGTGTGATTTCCTAAAATGTTCTCTGTAATTCATCAATGTTTCTTCTCCTGGTTGCTCTATTCTGGTGTCTATGGTAAGTTACACATATTTGCAGTGTTAGACCATTGACACATTTATGAAGTTGAATCCCTTGAATATGTTCCAGCTAGTAATGTGCTTTTCCATCAATTCAAAACAAAATATAAGTTTTGTAATACCAATGATTTGTTTTCAATTTCTGCTTCCATAGTTTGTGTGCATGTCCCCTTTCTTCCCTTTAAGCCTACTCAAATCACATTAAAAGTTCACTGACAAGCTAATTTTAGTATCATATATCTTAATGGCCACAAATATTTGTATATTTTCATGACTGAAGTCCTGTGACACTGTATTGTAAGTTTAGTCTTGTGATTTTTGAATTTATACTGACCATTTTTTTCTTTGTATGTTGCCCCAGACCAAAGCTTTTGCTGTGGAAAGAAAAGGGCAGTGTGTGACCTGGTGGCAAGTTTATCTTTTCTCCTTTCACATGTAAGCTTCTTTCCAGCATAGCACAGTATAGGTTTCTAGAATATTGACTGTAGTAATTACAAGTTTTACCATACACAAAGTAGTTTAGTCATTGCAATTATCACTAGTTTTTCAGGATGGTCCTCTAGTGGCTTATGAAATGTAAGTTTTCTTCTCATACTGATAGCAGCATGATAGACTGGTTGTAAAGTAGCTGTTAATTATCCATGGGACACTTGGCATGAAAGCAGATTGATACTGACCAGTGTCAAATGTCATTTACCTCACTGTTAGTTCCATAAAGCTTAATAGGGCTTCTAAGATTGCATGTAGGACAAGAACAGTCTTTTTGCTTATAATGCTTTACTCTTGGGAGTATCTTGTATTCAAACACATTATATTTCTCCCACTATACATTATGTTCTGCTATGATGAGGAAAACACTATACAGAAGGAACACTTTCTCCATGTTGCCCTGGGGGTTCCAAATGATGTTTAATCAGGATCATCCTTGTCAACTCTCAGCCAAATGCTAAGGATTCTCAGATTCTAGGCATACTGACTTCTGGGATGAGGCACATTTGAGAAATTCAAAGTCACCATTCAGTTTTATCCTAGATGTTCAATAGTCTATGAAGGATGAAAGTTTAATCTACTCCTGTGGATTCTGTAATGTTCTGAGTTAGAATTGGTTCAACAACATTGAGGGCCTGGTCCAACTGAAATTATAGAAATTGTCACTTTTTATTGAAAACTGCACTGAACGCTATATGTCCACCTTTACAATAAACAAATACAGTAACGGTAATACACTAAAACAAAACATTTCTGGTAGCCATTGGTTCTGGTTTTGTTTTGTTTGGGACAGCTTTTAAAACTTTTATCACAGAAACAGAATGTACCCATACAAAGGCTCAGAATAAGCCATCTTTTTCAACAAAAAGGTGATGTTTCACAAAAGACTATGAATATAACATGTAACTAGTTGATACAAATCTAATAGGATTTGTTAAAATCAGTCACATCTAATAACACATTTTGAAGTGTTCTTGTATAAAATACCACATGAAGAAAAGAAGACTTCAATGTCTAAAAAAGTGGGTTTTGTTCATACAGTCTGACAAGTTACCATAAAAAGTGTTTTTTTCCTGAGACATAAGGAAATGCAACATTCTTGAATCCTTTCCAGCTCAAGACTTTTCCACTCAATAAAATAGCTGTGGATTTAAAACTGAGAAAAATATATTTGAATATAAATGTGAGACTTAACACTTTTTTTTGCATCATCAACATGTGTTATTTAATGTACAGCTACTTTATTAAGTGTATCTTGTAGGAGAAGCATCAATTTCTGTGAAAAAGGCAGCAAGTTAACGTAGGCCTTTTCCTCTCTCCAAACTATATAACTCTAATTAAACTTGAATAGCATCCCTCCAGTAAATTAGTGGCTACAGATAACTGTAACAAGCAAAGTTTTCTCCCCCGTGTGTGGGTCATCTTTCCTCAAGGTGTAAAAAGAGAAGCCAGGTGACTTGAGTAAGGAAAGGGCTGAAGTCACAGGATGGCATCCTCTCTATTATCGTGTATGCTTTGTTAGGGCTGTTAGACATGCTCTAAGTCAGGGGTCCTCAACCTTGGCAACTTTAGGACTTGTGGACTTCAACTCCCAGAATTCCTCAGCCAGCAAAGCTGGCTGAGAGATTCTGGGAGTTGAAGTCCACAAGTCTTAAAGTTGCCAAGGTTGAGAACCCCTGCTCTAAGTAATAGATACTTCAATCAGCTGTTTTTCCCCCAAAGGGGAACATAGAAGATACATATATTATTCTTGTGATTGATGTAAAGATGAAGGAACTTAAATAAAAATAACAGAAGCTGATCAGTAATGTTATCAAATCCTAGTTTTCAGTGCTTCAGTAAGCAGATGACTTCTTCTGTTTCCCCCTCCCTCCCTTAAGTCTTGACTCCTATCTTTTAATTGTTGTTGTTGTTGTTGTCGTCGTCGTTAACACTGGAACATCATGATGCATCTGTCCAAAATGAACCTTAACAAATTTTGTATCAAATTCCTTTCAGTTTGTCATTTTCTTTTCCAATGTCTCTTGGTCCCAAATTGGAGTGCTTTAAATTGTCTGCTATTGCTCATTTGGATGTTCCCTGTTGTCTCCATGTTTTGAGGGCTGGTTGGGAGATGGAGCTTGAGAAGGGTGTGCCACAGTTGGAAGATTGTGAGTAACTGGAATCCCTCCTGGGATGATACCTTCCATAGCTGCTGGAATTCCACCTGGAGTAACACTCATCATTCCTGGTGGATATCTAGAAAGAAATCGATTTTTAATTAGAAGAAAATAAATGCAAACATGTTCTATTGAAAAAGCTATGCTGTAAAGGCCCAAGGGTAGGGGAATCCCCTAGGAAAATTATTTTCCAAATAATTACAGTAATAACATCTATTTCAATACTTTCAAGATAGCTCTTTAAAAATGCTTTATTCATGTTATTTTAGAAACCTGTGCAAACAGCCAGAATATATATCCCAGCATTTGAAGAAGCAAACTTACTTGAACCCAAAGCTGTGTTATTTTTTACATCTATTCTCAAAAGATATGACAGAAACAGTGGTCAAACTTTTGCTATTGGAAGAAAAAACAAAAGAATGGAAAGTGAAAGATTTTATGCACAGGATGAACAGTCTTCTCTTTTAGGAAACACTTTAAAGAATATAAAGGGAGAGCCTGGCTTAATTTGGAATTATCTAGATGAGATGGGTGAACACATAAGCCTAATAAATAAAAATAAATAAATGTAACAATGTTTAATTCATTCTAGTTTGTAAATTAATTGAAAAATAATGGTCACCTAAAATGCATACTTTAAAATTGATTGAATGTTTAAATTTATACAGAAGTTCATAAAGTTACAAGTAATTCTAAACAAAACTAATACTAGTGAATTATGTTCCTTCAAATTTATTTCCAGTATAATCAAAATAAGAAAGCCAGATGAAGTTCTGGTGTTCCTTAGCCAAAAAAAAGCCAGCTTGCTCTCTCTCAACTAGGGGGAGAGAAATTGAAAAACAACTTGAAAGATGGTGCTGGCAAACCACTTCTAAAAAATGTTGCCAAGAAAACTGCATGAACCTGTTGGTTCAGTCACCTTGAATCAAGATTAACTTGAAAGATCATAACAATGTAATCAAAACGGTTGCCAACCTTTTCAAAACATCTACTGGCAATCTTTGACTTCAGCGATCATTCAAAGGCTCTGAATGAATGGTGATTACAACACCTCCTTGGACTTCAGGCAGTCCCAGAACTTATGCCTGGTTGCAGCGATGTGCAATTACGTGATCAGCATTTGCAACCTTCCCTGAGGGCTTCCCCAGAAAGTCAATGTGGAAGCTGGCAGAGAAGGCTGCAAGTTGAAGGGTAAGTCTCCCCTACCCATGTGCCACTTTGTCCTTGTGCCACACCAGCCACTTGCACACCCCTCATACCCTCCCTGACTCACACCTCTTGCCCAACCTGTGTCACAACCTGATGCACTCTCTCTATCCCATGCTTCTCATGCACCCCCTTCATACTCTTCCCAACCTGCATTTTTGTACCTCTTCCTCAATCCATACTACACCCTTGTGCACCCTCCATGACTTGCACCTCTTATGCTCTCTCCCCAACTCTTGCCACACCTTCTCTGCATTCCTTTGACCTCCCTTGTTCTGTTCACAACCTAGCAGCAGCTATTTACCTGCCTGCTGACCTGGGACTTGCAACTTCCTGCTGGCTTCCCCACTGACTTTGATTGTGGGAAGCTGGCAAGAAATTGCCTTATCAATGTGGTCAGTCAAGTGTGATGCCACGTGACTGCATCGCTTTAGCAGTGATAGCTGGGACTATCATAACCCCAGGACCGCACAGTTCATTGATCAAAGACTTCACATGACCATGACATGGGAAGAGGTGGAAGTCTCAGGCAAACAGATGGGTGACAGCTATGGGTGGGCATGTGCTATGGAGCAAAAACAGGTACATGGGTAAGTACTATGGAGAAGACGCAGGAGTGCCTATGAAATGTACGGAGTATGGGTGGGTGTCGGGTGAGCAAAAAAGCAGCAGGACTGGCAGTGACTTGTAATCTTCCCCTAGCTTCTCCATTGACTTTGCTTGTGGGAAGCCGGTAGAGAAGATTTCAAATGGTGATCACATAACCACAACTTACATTGCAACTGTCCCATCTGCAAGCCAGTTGCCATGCACTCAGATCATGGATCATATGACTATGAGGATGCTGCACTGGCTGCAACTTCGTGGATTGGACATATATCCTCGTTTATCATCACCATAATTTAGAAGGCTTGCTGAATGAGCTTTCACAGGGGAAGCCTATCTGTATTACATAATTGTTGTTTGGAAAATATAGATTACTAAATGGATTGTATCAATCTTTATGGAACATCCAAAAATAAAGCAAAACATCACTGTTTGCATAACTTTTTTGTACTGAAAGTGGACTAGAGGTTTGTTTCTGGGGTCTGTAATTTAAGTTTGGATCCATCTTGCATTGGAATGAAACCTCTTAGAAAAAAACAAATCCCCATTTTCAAATATTATACACCTGTGCGCACACATATGTGTGTGTGTACATTCACATTCTTTTGTGTGGTTTTCTATTATATCTAAAATATATTGTAGGTTCCTGGATTTACAGGGATAATTGAAAAATAAAATCTTACAAAGCCAGTTTTGAAAGACTGAGACTTTGTAATTTACTTTCTCTAATAAAAGGTTCTGCTCTCAGTTTATTTGAGAAGAAGGAAAGTTAATAGAATCATAGAGTTGTAAAAAGCCATCAAGTTCAATTGCCATTCCATGCAAGAATCTGAATTAAATAATCCAGGACGGACAGCTGTCTAACCTTCCCTTAAACAAATCCTCTTAGATTCTATTATATCAAATTGTTCTTGGGCTTAGACATTTTTGCCCCCTAACGTTTAACTAGAAACTGCACAATATAACTTCAATCTGTTACTACATATTGTGCCTTGTAAAATAATAAAGGTCAGACCTTGGTCTTCACTGTTACAACTTTTTTTGTTACTTGAAGGGTACTATTGTATTTTCCAGATTGTCTTCTCTGAGTCAAATGCTTCCCCCTCCCCCCGTTCCTATTAATTCCAATGACGAATAAGAAACTACAGAGGATCAATGGAAATCTTCCTTATTCCCTACTTAGTCTAAACCAGGGGGGTCTTCAAACTTGGCCCTTTTTATGATTTGTGGACTTCTACTCCCAGAATTCCTCAGCCAGCGTGCCTGGATGAGGAATTCTAGGAGTTGAAGTCCACAAGTCATAAAAAGGCCAAGTTTGAAGACGCCTGGTCTAAACTTTGCCTACAGATTATATTTCAAGAGTATATTCATAGCAACAGATATGTGGATTAGCCATGGACATCTCTGATAAATAAAAACTGAAAGTTGATGCATCGCTTCAACTGAATGTTCCTATCTCAAACCAGCAAGGCATCTAGTGGAGAGGATGATGGCCCATAGAGATGAATATATCATGTAAGAATTGTCTATTCTTTTCATTAGAATTTTATCACCTTTGCAAAATAGGTGCATTTACATCTGATGACATCAATGATGAGCAAGATAAGGCCATTTCAAAGTTGTTGGATTATAATTGCCCTCATCCTTCATCTCCCCAAGTTCTACCATGCTGGAATATTGTTCCATACAGGGTTATTATAATATGCATGATATTATAAGCAAGCCAAATTATACCAAATATATTTTATGTTTTTAAAGTAATAAAACAGTTCTAAAATTGTGCTAAAAAGTTTGCTATTTTTTTTTTAAAAATCACCCAAATGGCAGAAAACTTTGACTATTTCTAGACTTTTGAGTTAAATATTAACTAGTTGATATTTGTAAGTATAAATGTCTTGGGTGAGAGACTTGGGTCCCTCTTAGTTCTATACGTTCAAAGTTATTTAAATTATCTAGTGGAACAAGGTATAATGGAATAAATTGGTATTCAAATCATGGAAAATCTTTTGAGAAATATAAAACAGAGATGAACAACAGTTTCTAAGTGAAGTCATTGTGACATGATCTCAGATGATGGCCTGGATTTCAAAAGAAAAACGTCTGACATATTTCAACATTTCTTTGGCTGTTGAACTTTGGGAACCTGGCAAACACTTTAATGCCAATGTTGTGTCTTTAATGCTTTTATGATAGGGACTCAGAGAAAGATTTTAATGAAAATCATATCTCAGAACTGTCTACCACTTCTTGATTAGGTTACAATAATAAGCATCTTCTGTGGATGGAACTTCCAAAACACCAAAGCTGAAGGATTACTACCACCCACTCAGAAATCTTAGATTTTGAGTTAACTCATTCTTCAAGCCCCTTTTGTTGAATAGACAGAATTTATCAAAAGAAAGAAAAAGAAAGAAAGAAAAAAGAAAAGAAAAAGGATTCTTTTCTTCATTTTACCTGTATGTGGCACCATTGAGCTCTGGATGAATTGCTTGCTGATCTATTACTGACCAAGGAGAATTTGTGACAAAGAATTCCTTGTTCACACAATTCCGTAGGCTTTCGGGGATGCGACCTGAAATCAGAATAATTAGAATACATAATAATTACTCTTATTATGTAGCAGACTACATCAAATGTTCTGTTTTTCCACAATGCTTTAATTGGGGATTGGGGGAATATTTTTCCAGACTCCATTCCAATTTGGGATGGTGTTCAAAACTAAGGAAGCTAGTGGAAGTTGCCTGAAGGTGAAACAGTATGCAACAGTGTATTTGTTTGTTTAATATAATTGCCAAGGATCACGCTGTTTTAAAGGGTTAGATTTTAAAACTTTCCATCCCTTTGCTCTGCCGCTGTTTTATAAGCCCCTTTGGAGCACACAGTTTCAACTTGCTCTCAGCTTTACTCAGCTGTTGAAGAGATGCTGTATCATGTACCTTATTAGCCAAGTAATTGATAGGGGAATGGCAAATTCATATGCGGTGTAAAAGTGGCTGACAAAATATTAACACTGATTTATCAAAATGTGATAGCCTTTCCACCCGCCAGAAAAATATTCAGCTTTCATTCCATGAAAGTGGAGATAACATCCTTGCTAGAGAACACCCTTGCTATACTGATAGATATAATGATCAAGTCTTATTCTAGTCTTAGACCTGGTTTGATATCTATCATGCTGCCAAAACCTGGTTTAAAACAAGAAACAAAACCAAAGCCACCCCTCCCAGGGCTAAAAACATCACCTATAACCCTCAACTGTCCTAGAAACTCAGAGACCGATTTCTAATCTCAAACAAAAGAGGGCAGCAGAAATATTCAGGCAAGGATATTTTCTGTCTCGGGAGGTTTTCAGGATCAGAAACATTTGCATACAATATTCAGCCCAGCTGTAAGGGAGGAGGCGTTGAACCTTGCCTAGAGCAAAGCACATTAGGGTACCTGTGATCGCTCGGCGTATCTCTGTTGCAGCAGCTTCTCTCATCTCTAGTGACGCCTGTTCACTGTACCAAGCAGTATGTGGAGTACAAATTAAATTGGGCGCATCTTTCAGGGGCCCTTGAGCAAAGCTGCAAAAACATTTTAGAGACAAGATTTTTTTTTTTAAAAAAAGCCCTGAATGAAATGCCAACAGAGAATCCCATTTCACCATATCTTTGCTTTCCTTCAATAATGGGTGATGGATGGAAACCAGAAGTCTCGTTCCAGTTTAACCACTCACCTCTAAACAAAATGGGGGCTGATATAAAAATAATTTTATAATGTTTTCCAAGCATAATAAAAGACAAGGTTTAACAAATTCCCCAAGGAAAATCATTTCTAATCCAATTTTTTAGGACTTGGGGCAGATTAAGATGTTATATGCAATCAAATTGGATATGACAGGGACGCCAGATGTGTTTTATTCGTATGTCTGCCCAGATACATGAAATCTAAGTGAGTGTTGCAATTTTCTTCTAACTGGTATGGAAAAATCTGTTAGAATAGAAAGAGGGCAGAAAAGTAAGCTGTGGAGGGCGATGGTCTCAAGCCTCTCCTTTAAGTACCACAGTGTAGCAATAGAGTACATTGTTGTATTGTCATTTGCTCTTTTATATTGCTAGTACTATTATGGTTTTAGACAATGCTTCTGTTGTTTGTCCTACAATATGAAACTTATTATCAGAATTATTCTCAACAGAAGGTCAGGAACATGGTGAGGCTCAACATGGTGAGGCTGATGAAGTACTCTGGATAACCAAAACATTTTACTGAGGGGCGGGGGGAAGGTTTCTCCAGCTTTCTATAATTTAATGCACTTATCCGCATAACACGTGAACCCATTTACATAATACCTTTTACATTTTCAGTTTAGAAATGCCGTAGATAATTCATAGGTTTATAGCAACACTTGGACCCACATCTTCCTTGAAGCAGCACTGCATGTATCTTATTGCAAATAATAGCACGTGGATAATTTGGTTCTTTCAATAACCATATTTTTTTTCTGGACCTGAATCCAATACCTCACAGAGTCTAACTAAGCAGATGGCCAGATTCCATGCAGAAGCGATACTTTTGTTCTTGAAGCTATGGGGAGTCACAAATCACTGACCTTTGCCTCTGATGACTACTTCTTTTCCTGCTTGGAAGGAGCTGCAATTCTAGTAGAGAGGGTCACTTTTCACTTTAAAATGCAAGCTTGTGCCATAATACAAATGTTCTTCTTAAAGGAACGCCTTTTGTTTTTGATGAAAGGGACTACAATAGATTCCTCATAGAAAATCCTGAAGAACTCAGGAGAGACTATTAGATGTACCACTTCTGTTATAGAAAATGCAACTTTTACAGCTAACGGAGTCCATTAGCAAAGCCAATTATAGCCCCAGTTTTTGCAGCTCAATAACAACAGGCTCACATTGATCTTTAAAACTTTTCAGCAGCTTTCTAAAATTTTTATGAAGTTTTATTTCTGAAAATTAATGCTTTTCATCTTACTAAGGACAATGCCTGTTTTTTGTTTTTTTTGATCTATAAGATAACTTGGACAGAATTTGCTTTCAGCAGGATTTCTCAATTTTAGCAACTTTAACATGTGGACTTCAACTCTCAGAATTCCTCAGCCAGTCTGCTTGCTTGCTGGTTAGTGAATTATAGGAACTGGGAAGTCTAAAGTTGAGAAACTCCAGCTTAGACCATAGGTAAGGAACCTAGAGGTTATGTTTCCATATCCCAGCACTCTGATATTTTGATGGCTCATTTTTCTTCTATTTTTTTTCTGCAAAGGAAATGTTGATGTGAGTATATGGGTAGGTGGCCTCTAGGCTACAAACTGTTCCCATGCTCTTTCTTGAAGTACAGTATCATCCCAAAAGCAAAACGTTTAGTCAAAAAATTCAGCTCTACACCTTCTGGTGATATCAAAGCATTTATAAATGGCCTCCTGAATTGTTCTAAAGACCTCCAATTTTTTAAGTATTGCCCAGATCAGGCAGGCTACAATACAATGTCTTCTAATATTTACCTAAATGGTTCTGATTCATGAACATCCAGTGCTGCCCCTCGTATCCTTCCTTCCTTCAGAGCTTGGGTTAAGGCCTTTTCATCCACCAGACCACCACGCGCTGTGTTTACCAAAAAAGCTCCCTGCCTCATCTGAGAGGAAACAAGAAGAAAAGACCATTCCACAATTTAAAGATTTTTTGCTGGGTTTCTCACCCTACTATAACAGCATTAACATCTACTTCAGAATCTCTTCTGAAACCATTCGGGATTATAAAATGAATGAGATGGTGTCTATAAACAGATGTTGGACAACTGTAATTTACTCTTTGAAAACTGATGCATTTTTATTATTAAGTCTTTCTCTGAGCCAAGGAACATCATGCATTTTATTCCTCTCACCCAAGAGTGAGAATAGATTTTCAGCTTGTTTACAGAACCACGTTGAGATCTGCCTTTATTTTTAGGGTGGAAATACAGATGGTCTTCAACTTCTGATCACAATTGGAAACCGGACATTCTGTTGTACGTCATTATGGTTATTAGTCAAGTCAGATTTTTGTGGCGGTTGATAAATGAGTCACATGGTTGTTAAGAAAATCCAGCTTCTCCAATGGGCATTATTTGTTGGATGTCCCAAATTGTGATCACCTGATTATGGAGATGATGCTACTGTCATAAATGTGAGTACAGACTGTAAGTTAACTTTTCAGCACTGTTATAATATTGAACTATTATGAAATGAACAATCATAAGTTAAGGTCTATCTGTAGATAATCAGTACATGCCACAAAGTGTGTCACTGCACTGGAAGCAAATGCTGTGAGCTCTGGAATTGGTGCTCTAGATTTTTCTGGATTTGATGGAGCCAGCATAGTGTAATGATTAAGGTGCTGGAGCAAGAACAGGGAGAACCAGCTTCTAATCCATCCTCAGTCATAGAGGTACACTGAATGACTTTGGGCCACTCACTCTTACTGTGGAGAAAAAAACCTTAGCAGTTGCTTTATGTTCCTCATCTTGAGCTTCTGAATGATGAAATATAAACCTAATAAACAAAAATACATATGGCTAACCTAATAACTGAGATTGCCCCCAAACTTCATATGGTTCCCAACACAACCCTATTTAAATGAGCTCTTATGCCCAAACTCTGGATTACACTGAAGCTTTTGTGTGATACTCTTTTTTTTCAAGCCATTGTTATTTTTCCCATTTTTTTTGTTTTAATTACATTCTGTTGTTACTGCTGTATTTGGTAAACTGCCCGAAGTTATAGCAGATTGGAGTGATCTATACATTTTATAAATAAATAAGTAGGGAAAATGGGAATTGTTAACCAATCCTGCTCTAAGGACAATAATTACATAAGCAAGAAACAATGCTCAGGTTTAGTCTATGAATTAACTTTAGAAAGATCACAACATTTATACAGAAAGTTCTAAAATTCTCTCTGAATTACCTTGGTATTCAAACTCAATGCATTATTCTGAATACTTCACTATGGTAAATAAGCCTACAAAGATTGGCTGCCCTCTCCCTGGAAATACTACCTTTTTACACGTGTACTTTGTGTCTCCAAGGTGCTTTCCTAGGTTACTATATGTTGCACAAAAATGCATTTGTTATTTGTGTGTTCCTTGATCTCAAAATCAAAGCAGCATTTGGCGAAAACAATGGGATTGAATTAGACCTGTGCAGCCATAAAAGAGAAATTAGCCTCTGATTAACCTGATGATGTTCTGGAGGTATAATACCAGGTTATCGGTAGTCCTGGACATATGACCACAATTGGGACCAGAATCTGTCATTGAGTGAAGTAGTCACTAAGCAAGATACTATGTGACTACTTTGCTCAATGACTGTAATCCCAGTATTCTAGATGCAATCATTAAGCAATCTTGTAGGTTTTTAAAACAGATGGGAGTCCTCAAGAAGCGGGGAGGGGAGGCCCTGGGTGGTCCAGCTTGAGGTGTGTGTGTGTATGCTGTGGATAAGGCTCCATTCTGGGCCTGAAAATATTGCTTTGATTTTGCAGGGAGAATTATCCCCAGAGCACAGAGACCAAGCAGGATTTTCGGTCCCTAGGGATAGATATTCTGCGTTGAAAAAGATAAGAGGATTTTCAGTCCTGAAGAAGAGAGGCAGTGCTATAGGTTAAGGAGCACAGGGTACCTCAAAGGAGGAGGCCCAGTGCAGGCTGTACCCTGAGAGGATGTTGTAAACAAGTCTCTTCATTCTGGGGCTGAAAATCTTTCAGGTCTGAAAATCTACTTGGAATTTGACATGGATCTTTTTCAGCCAGCCCCTAGAGATTAAAGGAGTTATCTGGGCAGGTGGCAGCAACTTGCAACTTTCCCTTGCCAGCTTCCCTACTGACTTTCCGGGAAGGTTACTAGTTAATGCTTATCTTGGGTTGTCGGGGGCTTCTGACTGGCTACATAAATGCAGCCAGTCTTTCTTCTGCTGGTTTGAAGGGCTTCCTCGGATCAAATGGAAGGGCCGCTGCCCCTACGTGGTTGACGAAGGTTCCCTTCTTCTTTGTTACCTCTCCAGGGTGACTTTAGATCCTTTTAGGGTCCCCAGCAGAGCAAAATCGGACATAGAAAATGGAACCCAGTTTTTCTGTGCCCGTTACAACACGACGTCTAACCCAGAAGTCTGTACATGACTTATTTTTCTATTTGATTATTCTTGTTTTTTAACGTCTAAAGCACCCAGAATAATCTGGAATTGGATGGCCTCTAAATCATATAAGCAAACAAAATCTAAGCTACCCAAGAATAAAAATGCATACAATTTCTATCTGCCTCTGCTCGGGTCTCCTCAATGCCAAAAAAAAATCCGGTCGAATGACACAAATTTCTGAATCTCATCCCATGAAGTAATGGAATACTCTCTTTCCTCTCCATTTAGATTTACCTGCTTAATCGTAAAATCATTGATCAGGTGATGATTATGTTCATTGAGGTTACAGTGTAATGATACGCAGTCACTCTGGTACAGCAGATCCTGAAGTGTGTAGACTCGCTGAACCCCCAGGGACCTTTCAATCCCATCTTGCAGGTATGGGTCATAAAAGATCACATTGAATCCAAATGCTTTGGCTCGAACAGCTACTGCTTGTGCAGTGCGACCTATATAAAAAAGACAAACAAGAAACCACACACACATAGACACAGACGCGTGAATCAGACAGGTGTAGTAACAGACTTGATAATGTGGCAGTACTTTCAGCATTAAGTATAGACCGAAACAACTGACTACCAAATACATTTTCCTATCATAATCAAGGCATTTGTGCTACAAGGAAACTCCCCTATTATTTATTTATCAATAGGTTGTCCATTCCATAGTTTTGGGCAACTTCTAAAACTATATTCCTATCATTAAAGGTGGACTTTGAACACTTTTAAAAGACTAACAGGGACTGGATAAAGAGGGGCGTTTTAAGTCCCTTCCTAAACTATAATAAGGAGGGATGAATTTCAACTCTAATGGCCAATTTATTCCACAATAAAGAGGTGCCAATATTTTTACATGCTTAGAAAAGACTTTCATTTTCTCTCCTTCCCTTCCTGCTGGTAGAACTTAAATCTCCAAGAGATAAATTGTCTTGGCTGTCGTTGAAGGTCAAACATGGACCGTGTAATGCAGCGTGTACAAGGGCATTACAAGAATCTGCCTTTAGAATATAGGGAGCTATGGTATTTTTCAAAAAGGTCCATTAAATATTTGCCACTGCACTTCAGAAGCAATTAATTTGAATAAATTCAGCTATGTGCATGGAGAAGTAGGTCCCAGCTTTAATGGAGAGCATGGTGCACTAATCAGCTGGGTAATGTTGAATTCTCAAATTGGAGGGTGGGAAAAGGAAAGAGACAGAGACTCCTGGGAACTCAACGCCAAGTAATAATGTTTTTCCAAAGTACCAGAATGGAATTGGATGCATCCAAACAGGTTTAAAATCACCAAACCAAAACAATGCTCTGCATCCAGCCACACTCAAAGCCCTGTATGGCTTTTCAGTTCTGATCACCAGCAAGAAAGCAGGTTAAGGAACTCTTATTACAAATGACTTTGGTACAACAGTAGAATGACAACCCCCCTCTGAGCCTTATTTATTAGAAGAGCAACTTGTTTGCTGTAGGGGTTTTTCTCTCCCCCCTCCCCATTTCCCCCTTCCTTCTGCACTCTTACTGAATGGCTATTTAATTGGGCATGACTAAGACAACTGTCATGGTTTGGAAGCAAAGGTTTAATAAGGCTCTTCTGATAAAGAGGGACAGCTGCAATGCAATCAGCAGGTCATTATCCACAATGTCATTCCAATTCAATGTCATTGCTGGTCTCAACTAAGTTCCACATCAAGATGCATTTTTCTTAAATGTAGAAAAAGGCAGAGAACCAGGCCTACACGTGCAAAACTGGGTCTCAGAATATAATAATAGAAGTTCTATGGGAGTGACTAGAGGAAAAACTCCCTTTTCTGACACACTGTATTTAGGCGCAGATGGAAAGGCAGAGACACACCCATATTTGATTGCCAGTACTCATTAATGGGATAAATGTGCACTTCAGTTTCTGTGAGGAAAAAAACCCTAAAAAATCCAAATCTGTACCTCCCTCCTCTCGAGAAGCAAGCTACAAATGACTATTAATTTATAGTCAATTATTCTAAGCACATAAACCACAGGGATAGATGGTCCAAAAGTGAGAGACTCCAAGCATATAGTTAAAGAATAGGAGACCAAT